TTACATTTGCACCGCTTCCGCTTTCTGGTAAAAGGAGAGGGTACCCTGCACTGCAACTGCCGGGACCGCGTGGACAAAGGCAGAGGAGGTGGACGGAGATCGGCTCTAGGGACCAGTGGTGGCTCTACTAAGCTTGTGACTTCTCTTGGCGAGAACTTCAGTAATAATATGCTAGGTACTATAATTTACATACATGTATATTATGTGTAATATTAATATGCTCTAAATATAGAATGATTTCAGTAAAAATACATATCACTAAAAGTATTATATAAATATGTATACTATCAGAGTGATGTTTTCGAGCATGGGCTTTTTTAAACGAAATGCTTTCATCGAGCGACTTGAAGATGCCAAGGCTGCTAGCACAGTAGCTAGAGCAGCAGGGCTTTTGGATCGGGCCTCGGTTCCAAATTCTGGCTCCTCCGGTCATCGGAGCTGGGTGACCTTGGGGATCCTGGAAACTCGCTGAGGCGTGGCTTTCTTTTCTGTGAAGAGATTTCCTATTTTGCCCAGCTAGCATGAGGCTTAATTAACATATAAAGTCTTCAGCACTTAATTTCACTTTCTTCCCCTGGAGATACAAAGAAATATCTGACCCAGTTACGTCACGACTTGAAAGGAAGAAGCCCAAAGAAGGGCGGTGGGTTAACAGGACTACCTGGGAGGATGGAGGTGATATCTCATTGGAGCCTGAAGATGTCAGGGAGCTGTGCGCAGCAGGAGAGAACCCGGTGGGCAGAGGCAGGGAAAGGGAGGGGATCCTCTCTGAGTGGCTGGTACACTGGATGGGCTGTGGGTGTTGAAGGTGGCAGGGGAAACCCAACCCAGATTGTGTGTGGAGCTCCAGAATGTGGACTTCAGGCTTGAACCTCCCACTGATGTGTTATTTGGCCATGTTTGGAGAAACACTGGGACTGGTTGCCAACACACAAAGTTCAGATCATGGATTTCCTCACTTCTCAGGAAAATTAGGCAGTTATGGCCATGCTGGTCCCAGGATCCCCATCTGCAGAACGCAGGTGTTTCTTACTCTGCTCCGTCTGTGCCGCTCTCACCTAGAGCTGCCCTGGCTTGCCCTTCGACTCCTGCCTATGTGGGCACCATGTCAGCAGTTTTTAATTTAGGAGAGTGACAAGATACGGTGTGGTCTTTTGGATGGACCTAGTGGCTGTTAAGGGTGCTGACTCAGAAGTGTACCCAGTAGATGGGCACTGGGCGCACACTAGGATTGGGGTCGTTGGGAGGTTGCTAGGTGCTTAGCAACTGAGGTCGCCCACTGGACCCCTTTTTCCATAGTAAGTTAATGGCATTGGTTTAACCTGTCTATTTCACAGTTCCCTTGCCCATTTTAAGACTTGTAGAGTTGGGTGGATGACAGTGGCAACAGGGCCACCATCCTTTTCAATGTTTTTAAGGCCTTAACTGTCCTCAGGTTGATCCCTGAAGTCCCCTGTACTCGAGAAGCCATCAGAACTGAGTTCACTTGGGGAGCCTCTTCCCTGGCCTCATTTTCTAGAAGGCCCCTTCTCCGTCCACAGCAGCTGTCCAACAGAAATAGAAAGGGAGCCACATGTGTGTAATTCTCAGTGTTCTAGTAATTCGACTGGAAATGCAAAAAAAAACTGGTGAAGTTAATTTCAACGGTACATTTAAGTAGTGTATCAAAATGTTATTTCAACAGGTAATCAACACTGAAAGCTCAGTACTGAGATATTTGTACTCATTTTTTTGTACTCATTCCTCCAGATCCAGTACGGATTTCACACTTCCAGCACTTGTCCTTCAGATGCTCAGCTGAGTTTATGGTAGACATACTTGATCTCTATTTAGATTTTATAAAATTCACAACTGAAAAAGTAAATTCCTAGACTGGAGTTGTTCCGAACATACTTTAAATGTTCCAGTAACTTTATGGAGTGTCATTTTTAAATGAAAATTAAGTAAGGTTTAAAATCCAATTTCTCGGTCACAATAGCCACCTTTCAAGTGCTCCGTGGCCACGTGTGGCTGGCGGTGACCACATGCACAGCTGTGGGGCTAAACAGATTTATTTAGCTTCTAATCTTCGGATCTTAGCTCCTGCTGCTCATCAGAACCCAGAATCCACAGAAATGCTCTGGGAGAGTGTCCTCTTCCACCCATCTTATTCACCGCGAGGCTTGGAGGGGACTCTGGTTCCAGCAGGCAGCCTCCGACCCTAATAATGAAAATGTGACAGTGGCTGGGTCTCTGACCTTTCCCTTTTAATGCTGGAGACAGCTCCAAGCAGGTGATAACTGGGAGTCACTGCGTCATAAGTAACTTCGTAAGCCCCTGCCGCAGCCACGTCTGCACACATGGGAAGGCTGTCAGGCATCCGTCTTCCTAGAGGAACAAGTCTGTCACTTATGCCCCCACGGCCTCTGCCTGGCAAATGGGTTATGTCTTACTTCACTTTAAATTCATTTTTATTTTCTTCCACAGATAACACACCTGAGGCTGCACACCAAAGTGTATATAAAGTATCAGTATTGTTTAAAGAGTAATAACAGACTCCCATGTTCCCACCCCCGGGGCAAGAAATTGAATCCTGCGTGTTCTGGGAAGGCCCCGGTGCTCCCGGAGAGGAACTTGCCACCCTGCATTCTGGCAGGCATCCCCTTCTCTTCTTAGGGTTTCGCCTCCTTTGTAGGTCTCCCTAAACCATGTGCCACTCATTGAAAAAGACATTGTGCTGTATTCACTCTGCTGTGACTTGCTCCTTGTGACCAATGTTGGTGTTGAGACTCGGCGACACTGATGTGCACAGCTGTCATTTATCTGTTTTCTCTACTGGGTGAGCATGTCACACCTGGTCCAGGCTCCTGTGACATCTGGGTGATTCCAGTGAGCTGTTCTCACGATGGCACTGCAGTGAGCGTTCCTGTGTGTGGACAGAACCTCCTCTTGGGTGAAGTCCTCACGTAGGCACTGCCGGGCAAGGGGCCAGCAGGTATTCAAGTCACTGGATGCCAAGAGTGGTGGGTGGCACAGGTTGGTCCTCCCCAGTAGTGGTGAGAACCAATCCACTCCTCGAGTCTGTGGTTTGACAGGGCCCAGGGGGCCGCGGGGACCCCGGGGTGAAAGTGGCCAGGCCTCACCAGTCTGAGCCTTAGCTGGGTCACGTGGTTCCAGGGCCTGAGCCTGTGGCCTAGGAACCTTGCAGCATTTTCTCAGGTACCTCCCATGAGCCAGCCCTGTGCTGAGCTCACAGTCACTGAACCCTGGAGCGTGAAGTAGGCAGACCAACCACCGACACATAGTCCAAGGGCTCCAGGTGACCTGGAAGCAGGAGGGGTGGCCCCAGGGAGCACTCATAATCCAGCACCCCCGCTCCCACCCAGAAGTCATCTGCCATAGCCCTCAGGCAGAGCAGGTGGCTTCTCTCTCAGGCAGGGACCGGATTTTGCCTCTCTGACCTCCGAACTCTCCACCCTTTCACTGAGATGCTTCAAAACAAATTTACTGAACACCCCTCAGGTCCCGTGTTTGGGGTGTTCATGTCCTCTTGTCTAATCCTCGTAACCATTCTGCAAGGCCAGTACCCCGATCCCTGCCTCCAGAGGAGAGAGCAGAGGCCTAGAAGGTTAAGCAGTTCCCCGGGGAATGTCAGGTTGCAGAGAGTAGGTGAGAAACAGGGCAGGGAGTCCGGCAGCTGTTATTCTTGTGGTCAAAAAACAGCTGAATAAAGACTTCTGCTCTGGCTGTGCATGAGTACCTTGCCTTAGACCAAATCTCCCACCGGAACCGTCAAAGATGTGCAATGAAAGACAAAAATAAAACAGAAAAACAGCTTCGTGAAGCTATCAGAGAGATGCAGACAGCTAG